AGTTTAAATTTTTTTAATGATAAGGTACATACTAACTAAAAACAATTTTTATTAAAAGCACATGGTTTAAAAAAATCATTTTATCAAATGTTCAAAATGCCCCCCGTTAGCTTCTAAACATTTTAACAATCTTTTTTTCAACATGATTAGTTGTTGCTTTACGAATCATTTCACCATCTAACTCGTTAAAGGCATTCCGAACTCTTTGCTCTAATTCTTCTTTAGTATTAATTTGGGTAGAGTACACTAAATTTTTAATATGACCCCATAAAAAAAATCAACAGGAGTTAGATCTGGCGATCTTGCAGGCCAAAGCCAAGGACCATTTGGACCTATCCATCGGTCTTCAAAGAGTGCTGTAATTTCTTGATTTACATAGTATGTTGAATGTGCTGGGGCACCATCCAACTGGTACCAAAAATTATTATTTGGTAGCTGGTTTAAAATGTCGGCAACTACTTCTCTAAGAATTCTAATGTATCTTTCTGAGGTCAGTCTTTCATTATAAATGTAATAAAAAGCTCTTCCAAAACCGATCACTGCAAACACATTAAAACTAAATTCGTACTGAAATTGTGCTTCACGATAAAAATGTGGATTTTCGTTTGCCCAGAAATGACATTGCTTGCGATATATGATCCCTTTACGTGTAAATTTCGACTCGTCTGACTACAAAATTTTGTTTAAAATCTCGGGATCTTCTTGAATTCGTACCAATAACCATTCGCATAATTCAGTTCGTCTTAGTTGATCACCATCTCGCAACTCATGAACTTTTCTTTGTGCATAGGGATGCCATTTATTTAGTGCTAAAATTCGTTGTATTGACCCTCGACTAATATTTAAATTATCTTGAGCCATTCTAATGGAGGCGTGAGGATACTAGAGGTGGGAAGTTCGAATCTTTTTACTGAATTAATTCATTTGATTCATTCACCTAAAAAGATTCGTTCTTAAAGATTCGTTCTCAAGTGATTCACTTTAGCGAACCACGAACGATGTTATTCCGCCGATCCGTCGAAGGAAATCAAACCGAACGTTTACGAATTTGAGAACTACCTATTTACTAGGTCGTCGAGTGCGTTCAGTCTGTAATGCGTAAGAAAGAATGTAATGATTTGAGTGGTGAGATGCTTAAGTAAAATAATTAATACCGGTTTTATTTTAATTTGATATTTTAAAGTATAGCGAATTAATATTTCATAAAAAGAAGACAGATGGAAATTTAAATACTATAATAGTAGGTTCATCCTTGTCCGTTAAGATAAACAACAGTAACACAATTTTTTTAATGCTAAATATAGTCAAAACTAACGAAAAATTATAGATATATGATTCGTCATTTATTGCTTTACTTATTTACTTTGATTTAAATTTATTTATCAGACAACGCGCATAAATTGTTTACCTAAGTTTAATACACCTCTGGTAAAGTGAGAAAAACATTACAGACACATACCGCCACCGCCTGTAAGTTCGAGTTCTTGTATTATGCTATAGAACGTAGAACAAAAGCGACCGATTTGCCGATGCTGATTTAAAATACCGAATCTTCGAATCAGATCCGAATGAACGAAACAACCAAACTCGTTCTTGATCGATCACAGAGCCGTCGAACAATTGACTCAAAAAAGATTCGAATCTTTTAAAAACAGGGAATTAATTCATTCGAGTCAGTGCACTGATTCGTTCTTTTTGAACGAATCGTTCGCGAACGACACACCTCTAGAGGATACGCAGTAAAATACCCTAATACGTTAATTAGATTAACTTCTTCATCTCGGACATAATGTTGACGGTTTCTTCCCGGGTTTTGTTTAAAATTATTCAAAAAGTTAGCTTCGATTCTATCAAATTTCTGTCTGTTCATTGGTGGTAAATGAGGGTATCGTTCATTAAACATGCGGCAGGTTCTACTTTTGATTCGATTACATTCTCCATGAATGTAAAATAAATTAAGAATATCTTGGTTGGTATATTCTTCAATATTATCCATATTTTGAACGCAAAAAATACACAACTTAAATACATAGAAATATGACAATTCAGTTTGTTGACAGATTGTTGTTTAGCATATTTCCACGGCATACTAAGATAAAAAATTAAAATGTAAAACTATACTATATTATGTAGGTGCATGCGTAAAATTTAAATTTTCTTAAAATTGGCGAGAGATAATTATAGGGAATTAATAGTGCAAATGAAGATCAATGAAGAATAATTTTCTGAACAAAATGAAATAAAAATATACAGGATTTTCCATTTAAAATAAAAAAAAAATTTCATGTTTAAAATATTTATTTTTTAAAATAATTTCCAAACACACAGTCGAACAAACGATGTACAAGTAAATTTAAAAAAGCAAATGTCTGCCGGCATATAAAAGTTTATAAAAAACTGAATAACGCCAAATACACTATAATTAGAATAGGCGAATGGGGTATCATTGTTTACAGAATTTCATGCTGAATCTAAAATTTAAAAAATATATAGGGTGTTCAATTTAAAATAAAAAAGTTTTTTATGTTTAAAAAATTTCATTTTTAAAAATAATTTGCAAACACCCCGTACAACAAATAATGAATAACTAAATATTCTCAAGAAGTACATCCCATCTACTACCTCTGGTTAAAATTTTAAGTATCTGATAGATATAGTACCTGAGATAGACGACTTTAAGAAAATGTCTACCGGCGACTAAAAATGTAGAAAAAAATTGAATAACGCCAAATCCGCTATAACTAGAATAGGCAAATGGGGTATCGTTGTTTACAGAATTTCATGCTGAATCTAAAATTAAAAAAAAATATGGGGTATTCCCTTTAAAATAACCAAGTTAGTGGTCACTTCCGGTATAACCGGAAGTTGCACAGAGTTCATTTTATTTTAATTCAAAAGAGCATATTCGATTATGTATACTCAGAAAATGGCGAAAATACAAATTAATTTATTCTCCATAAAGTTGTAATGCCCGCCTTACGTGGGACACGGTGTATATCACTTGATATATATCCTCCGAACCCTGTCAAAATCCTAACAATTATTGTAATTAAACGTGTTTTTTCTTATGGACCCAACCTTGAATAAAATAAATGTAAAATTTGCACTGCTATCTACAGTTTAATTAATTCTGAAATTGTATGCACTGTCAAAATGGCTACATGCAATATCTATGAAAGAATCATAAATTAATTAGGCAAATCAAAGCCACATAATTAGGTATGTTCCAACAACGATCCGAAACCAGTCATTGCCAACAGGACTCAGCACAGTATATAATATTGGGTCCTAATAATCTACTGCGCAGAATTCTGGTGGCAATGACTGGTTTGTGATCGTTGTTTAAACAAACCTATTGTAGCTGCTTTCTTTGTAGTTAATTGTATTATTTAACTTCTATGACAGTTTTTTCGCCGAAGATGTAATTTTATTTTGTACCTGTCAATGAAGCCGATTTTTCTTACAGTCCCCTCCCTCTTTAGCCACTGAAACTCTTAACGGACTTATGTCAGACGTCATTCTTGTGGTTACTGTATACAATTTCAGAATTAAATTTACACAATAATATGACTAACTGCGCGTTAAAGTTATAATAAAAAATGTTTTAACTTTAAGGTAACCCATTTCATAATAGAACACTGCCCATGAGTTTTATTCAAAGTAATTATTGTAACTTGCATTTATATGTACAGAAAAACCCAGCGTAGTATTAAATGATGACAAAGCAACTAACATTTTGTTAAAATATTTCTATTTGTACTGAATATTTTATTAGTTCTAATTAGACATTTTTATATTTTCCATTAAATCATGATTTTTAAAACGTTAAAAGCATTAATAATGATCCAAAATCATATTTTCAAGTTTATCTATTCGATAATTGTTCAATGAAACACGTAGGCATAACTTTTATTCAAATAATTTAAACGAAATATTTATTAAAGTGACCATTTTCTAATCGCATACTCTACATCAGTGTAGGAATTGGCATCCACCATTTTAGTAATTGTTTAAAACTGCCAAATTCATGGAAATCGGAGACAAGTCGAGATTGTATTGGGGATGTTCTATTTAAACTATTACAAATTTTGAATTAATGTTTCTTAATGACATGCGAATATTTAAATCTACATGAAAAATTAGCGATAGTTTGTTTTATAAAATATGGTCCAAATGTAATTTTTATTTCTTTCATTCTTTCATAATTACATTAATTTTCTTACTCAAAAACGTAGCAACGTAGGAAAACTAAAGATTCTTTAAGTTTAAAATTGAACGGGGAATTTAAAAATATTTTTTATTTGGAAAAGAACCATTGGCGTACCATTTTTTTCTTAAAAATATTGAGGCTAGTGCCCGTACGCACGCCTTTGTTAAAACTGAAAATTATGTATGTATTAAAAAATATGCACTATTATTTTTTTTTTTTTCAAAACTTTAGTACCCTGTATTTTTGTAACGAAATTTTGGACCATGGTTTATAAAGTAAACTATCATTAGTTTTTCATGTAGATTCACACCCTTAAATATTCGCATGTTATTAAGAAACACCCTGTATGATTATATGTGTTAAAACCATGGAGTTAGTGTTGATACTAATCTATAAACAACTACATTCTATCATGGTGTAGTCCAAACGTAATTTTATTGAACAATTCTCTTAGTTTTAATGTGTAATTCGAACCAAAGGAACATCTTATTTTGTTGCATAAAATAACAATGAATGGAATAATACAGGTTTACACAAACAAAATTGGTCCGGCTATTATTATTCTCCAGTTAATGAGAATTATAATTTAATATTTTTTTTGTAAAATGTTAATATTAATTTAAAAGCATACAATTTTGTTAACTTGCGTCGTCACATTTTGCCATTATTTATTAATTATATTTAAAATATCTTACAAATAGTCACTAGGTTATACTACCTACTGTGTATATTTTTATTTCTCATATAAAATGTGTCAGTATATGGAACTGATTGTTTTTTTCTCTCATAGAATTTGCCGAATACGATCCCTTCAGATATGAATCCACCACCGTCCAAGATGGAAGCCGGTCTTCCCATAGATAAAATAAAAATACAAACAACAATCGAGAACCAAACATCTCTAGCCGTTTAGTTAAGGTAACCATTTTTAAATAAAACTAATTGTTAGTATATTCTAAATACGTAATACCTAAGATAAGCTAACTTTTACAATACCTTAATCCGAAAATGCTTCATAAGAGAGCTCATTAAAATTGGCCTGTAATTAAATTTTTTCAACAACTAATAATACTAATACATTCTGAATGTATTCGCTTAGAAAGTATACAGAAGCTCATTTGTAAATTCCAAATGTCTGATTCGTCACATTTTAAATTTAATTCAATTTTGCTGCTGCTGCTCCTACAATCCAATATGCTAGTGCCAATTGCATTGGCAGCTTTAACTTATTTGTCAATACTTGGCTATGGAATATTTTTTTATAACAAGTTTAAAATAACTTGCTTGTTGAATAATTATTATTGCAGTCACCTATTACATGCAGACTTGTGACTTATTTTATGGCTGAATGTATTATTAAATTGTTCTTAGGTTGCTATAGGCATTACAAGTGGTACGTGTCTCTCATAAACTTGACTTATCGATACCTTTTTGCCAGACTATCATGTTATTTGAAGAAATGTCCCTTACGTTAAGTCTGGCAAAAGGTATCTTTTGTTATGCTCTTTCAGTGATGCCCACCTATAAGAAGTAGTAAACCCTCCACCAATTTCGGTAATTTGCTCTCCAACATTTTAATGTGGTACGTGAGAAGGCATGAGCATGACTTATTTTCTTATGGTTGGTTTTTGTTATGTTTTTCACAAAATTCACTTCCTCCACCATTTTCGCTGGGCCTTTTTTTCTCTCCATCGTTTTAAAGTTGTGTGTGAGTGGGCATGCTCGTGACTTATTTTCAAAAAGTGGACGCTTGTACCAAAGTAAGATAAAAATGATACCTTTTCACTCAATGTCCAATAAAAATTATGGGCCGATTTTCGTGTCCAACGAAAATAATGAATTTAAAAAATATGAATGGTTTAAACATAAAAACGCAATAACTTGACAAAGTTTTTGCCAAAATAAATAATCAATCGGGAGTTTTTAAAGTCGATGAAACCGAATTTTAATATTTACCAATTTTTAAATTTTTATCATTATGTGCTGGTTCATAAATGCTAAATTTGGCCACCTTGTATTAAACTTGGTTTAATTCTTTTATGAAATATTTCAATAAAAATATTTTATTAACTTTGTTTTAAACCTCAAATGGCTAGCAAAGATTTTAAATTCTGTGAGCGAATTCGTTATCAGCATCCTCAAAACCTAGTCAACAATACTTTGTCAAGTTATTGCGTTTATGTAAAACCATTATTTATTTTTTTTACTTCTTCATTTTCGTTGAACACTAAAAACGGACAATATTCTTTGGCTTTAATTCATGTTTATATTACTTTGGCAGAAGTATACAGTTTGCAAAATAAGTCACACGTATGTCTACTTACGCATCACATTAAAATGTTGGAGAGGGAAATGGCCCAACGAAATTGGTGAATTTTGTGAAATACCTAAATCAAAACTCAGCCATAAGAAAATAAGTCAACGTGCATGCCCACTCACGTACTACTTTAAAACGTTGTAGAGAGAAAATGGCCGAGCGAAATATTTCTTGTAGGTAAGCACTTATCGAACAAGCATAATGAAAATGTTAAGAAAATAGGTCAGTTTTCAAGAGGGCCATACCATTCATAATATCTATAACAACTACTAAGCATTAATAATAAATTCAGCTATAAGAGAATAAGTCACTTGTACGTCCACTCACTCACCATTTTAAAACGTTATAGAGAAAAAATGGCCCAGAGAAAATGGCGGGGGAAGTAAATTTTGCATAACAAAAACTTAAAAATAAAACAAAAAGTAGACAGAAACAATGGCCTATCGAAATTGGTGGAGGGTTTAATATTTCTTATAGGTGGGCACTTATCGTCGAATGAGTATAATGAAAATGTAAGAAAATAAGTCAAGTTTTTGAGAGGCACTTGTAATGGCTATAGCGCCCCAGTCTGAACGTCGAGCTTTCGTAAATTTGTTAGACACGTATCATAGTACAATTTAATAAATTCAGCCATAAGAAAATAAGTCACAAACCTGCACGTTGGATCTAGGACTAAGTGAAAATGCCTACTTTGACCGAAAAAGATCTGCGGAATCATGAATCATCACCCTGTGTATGAATACAGACTACACAGAATGAGCAAAAAATTTACAAAAATATTTAAAGATTTTTGGTGTCCATTTTAAAGACTTAGAGATTTTTAACTTCAACACCCTGTATCTCAAAATCTAGTCATAGTATAGGATTGGGCTCATAGACCCTTTTAAAGGAGACATCAAAGGCGATTTTAAATCAGATACTATGTCTTGAATATGAATGATTACACTAATATAAATAAAAAACAATGATATCATATTGAATATTGCCTTGAAATAGGTTGACATAAATAAATATATATATGCGCTAGTTCAGTGATGATGTAATTATGGTTCCACTGACAATTAAAGTGACAGTAGATTTTTTGAGTGCGTTTTGTTCGTTTTGTATATGTAAGTAAGTAGATAGCATGTATCAAATATACAATCTTTTAGTTACCATTTACATACCTTGTAAACTATTTTTTATGACCTGTAAACAATATTTTGAAATAAAATAAAAACAGTAAAAACGTATATGTCAAATTTATTGATGTTTTTGTTAAAAGTTTGGTTAGAATTAAATGTCAGTGGACCCAAAATGACATCACACTGAACTAGCGCAATAGCTTAAATACATTATAAAAGGTAGGTACAAAAATTTAACATTAAATGTATTTAATGAAATATACTAAAGATATTAAAAACATTCTCTTTACATCATTCTGAAATTGACTAGCTGAACACCCAGTGACATCTAAATTGTATTGATTAGCCAGGCTCATTAGTCTAGGTAAGGGCGCATAATAAGCATAATTAATGAGGTGAAGTTTAATTGCAAATAGACTATTATTCCTTGTAGTTCTTGTGGGAACTCTAAATGCAATATGCATAATAACTCATCAAATTTAACAATCCTGACTATGATCTAATAGAGGAATCACAGATCCATGAAGATTCTTCAATTTACAAGGGTTGAGAGGTTTATTAAGTTCAGAATTGTGGAATAATTATTATATGTATCTGTCGCTAGACCAAGTTTAAAGGTACAATATCGTAAATATTTATTTTGGACAATTTCAATCCTTTTTACAGAGTTGTAAAATGAACACCATATGGTAGAGCTGTACTCCAAAATCAACCTAACATATGCAAATTAATAAAGCATTCTACAGGCATCTAAAGATAGTGAGCTAGAATTTCTTATCAGCATACCTAACATTTTCATTGCTCTGTTTGATTAATATGATTATTAAATGAAAGATTTGAGAAGAATACGATTCGCAGGTCTTTAATTTCAGTAACATGTTTAATTAGCGTTTTGTTATCCAGACAGTAGTTGTGTGTTATTTTATTACTATTTTTTGTAAAAGTAATGCAGTAATTCTTACTACTGTTTAGGGTTAGACTATTAGAGGAAGGCCATTCACGTAAGGCATGGGAATCTTTTTCAAGTTTATTACTACAATCACCACTGTTAACCTTTAAGTAAATCTTTAAATCATCGGCAAACAGCAGATAATTACTGTATTCAAAAACAGATCCAACATCATTAATGAATAAATTAAAAAGTAACGGAAAGAATAATACAAAACAAATAAAGACATTCTGGAAAGTTAAAAGGAATTCTAAAAATGAAATCAAATATACAAACGACAATGAAAAAGGCAGAAATTTAAAGAGCTAAAAGCTGAATTATATAAATGGAAAGGAAAAAAACGTACTGTAGAAGTATTTCATCGCATGGCAATGAAGATGACAGCTCATTGCGTTCTGCGATCATCATGTGTTGGTCCCAATTTTGGTCGATATTGTCTCACCTTCTCTCCTAATTTAACACTAGTAATGACTGATTTGTGTAGATATGTCATTATTTACCTTTTCCAAGGTTTTAGGTTCTAGCCAGTTTTTAATGAGCCTTATATTGTAGTTTTTATAATGATTTGTCAGAGTCACGTTCTGGTAATAAAATTGCCATAACATCACCTATTGTAATATCTGTAAACGGTTTTGAGTATATTTTTTATACTGTACACTGTTTCAATTATATGTATCTCACCTATTTCAAGAAATAGTTGTCACATAAAAACTAGAACAACCTGTGTGTGTGCGTGTACTTTTAGAATTAAGATATAGATGATCATAATTTAATTTTTCTTTTTCAGGAATAACTAGGAAAATATTAGTGAATAACGCCACGACTGCCATCGTTAATATGATTAACTTATTAAATGTGGTTGAACACATAAAAAATTAAGTTGTAAATTTTAAGTAAATGTATCTGTTAAATTAAATTTTCGTACAAATTATCTCTGCATTTATTGTACAAATTTCATTTTATCCTTTTTATTAAGTTATTTAAATTGGTAATAAATAAACATAAATTCGTATAACTTAGTACGTTTTATTTAATATTGTTGACATGACTTACTCAATTGCATTGGACAGTTTTAACAAATATGTATCAAATATCTTAAAATAAGTTAAACCATTAAATAAATTATAAAAAATTAAAGGGCATCCATATTATCACTTCCTTTAACAGCAGTCTCATTACATTTAAATCACATGGTTTAATTTAATCTTCGTCTATTTCTTCTAATTCCTCAACCGTGCTCCAAGATTCTGAAAAAAAAAAGAAACTCATTCAAATTTCTTGTCTCTTCATTTTTAGCCATGCCAAAGTAATAAATTTAAATTATCAAAATAAATCTACTCAAACTAAATAATATCAGTAAGAACAGTTTGTGTGTGGTGTTGATTTCTTGTGTTCTCCTTGCTGAAGAATTTGGCCACAGAAAATATGGATAATCTTCATTCTCAGAATATATTTAGTCTGTCCGTATAGAGAAAAGCATATACGTCACAAACCTGCATATCTGTTATGATTACAAGAATAGCCAGTGGCGAAAAAATATGTACAAATTACCTACTGAGCCATGTACTGATTCCCAACAATTCACACCTCTGTAATTTAGCGAATCTACAGATTACGATGGTAACGTCTAAAAACAATGCAAATAATTTGTTGTATATGTATTGTGACGTATATATGCTCTTATATGTCAAAGCACGGATTCTACATTATTTATTCCTGTTTATTTCCTTAAAAAGCGTCGAATGATTACCACTCACGCTCAAGTATTATGAGTGGAAAAACTCTCCAGGTAAGTTTAGAAGAGTCGACAAGAGAAAATATATGGAAAAATATATATATTTTTTTTCTAAGTTGTTAGCACTGGATATAAACCAACAAGCCAGTTAATTGTTAGGTGAACAAATGAAAATATCATATAACAAACTTTATTATTTTTCAAACTACATTAAAGTTGCTTTAACTTACTAAAATAACCTAAACTTAATATGGTTTAAATGTTTTGCATATTTTTTATTTTCCTTTTTATTGTTTTTTTTGTCTTTATTTTTTTTTCCTTCTCTTAATATTTTTTGTTTTGTTTTGAGTGTTTTGGTGAAATGATGAGTATGTTATATACAGGGTGTTAAAAAAAAAGTGTCACAAAATGAAATGGTGAATAGTATGACCCAAAATAAGCAGAAAAGTCTTAATAAATATATGACCGCAAATTAACGGTTTCGGAGATACGGACCATTTTGTGTTTATAACAATTTTTTATTATTATAAAAAAAACAATGATATTTATAAACAATCAATAACAACATAGAGTTAAATGAGATGTTCAAAGTGCCCTCCCTCCATTTCAATGCATTGCCATTTGCACGACCGTACATAAAATGCATGTCAGCTTATTCAATATTAGTGTAAACAGGCATAACGAAAATTTATAAAATTATTCACCCACAACAAAATAATAACTGCAAATAGTATCTATGAAAAAACATCGGTAGACTCCGATAAGAAAAGCAAGTTTTTGAGAATGAAAAAAGATAATCAAAAAATGATACAAAACACAAAACACTCCGTATCTCTGAAACCATTCATTTGCGGACATATGTTTATTAAGACTTTTCTGCATATTTTGGCCCATACTACCCCCCGTTTTATTTTGTGACACTTTTTTTTAACACCCTGTATACTGTCTAATGTCGGTAATTTTTTTAAATTTATAGGTAACTGAAATTTGTTGTTAATTAAATTTTTGGTATAATAAATTAATTTCTAAATCATTTAGAATATAACCCAAAAATAAATATTGTAAATCAACAGTCTCATCACAAATACACAATCATTATCTAATAGACGCTTCTTATAATGAGAGGATTATTTTACGAGGCGATTTAAATGGGCGGAGGTAATATTGACGCAATGCGGTTATCCTACAGGTAAAGTCTACGCAAGGAATGCAGGGTCATCTTAATTAAATAAGTATCTTTAACCACAATACGTCACCGTGACTAGTTTATAGTATATTTAGTTTTAACTGTCATGAGTAATTTAGAATAATTTTTCTTACTAACTAAAAGAGCAGCTTGATTGGCTATGTCGCTTGACTCTCCTGAGCAATAATAATAAAAAAAATATTGATGCGACAGTCGCCTAAAATTTTTTTGTGTATGATCTATTATTTTGGCCTCGGTGAAAATTTCTGATTCGGCCAAAAAAGATCAACTTTATGGCCTTGGTACACAACTATTATTCTCTTTAGATTCTGAAAAAAAAAATAATTTTTTTCTTGTATTAAACTAATTTCTTCATTTTGCGTTTTAATTGTAATATTCATAAACCATATAAAGATTTTTTATAAATTTGTATGGAATTATTTTTATAAACTTTGCTTCTATCAATGTTAATGGAATAAAAAAAAATATTAATAAAATACAATTGTTTTAAAATATATTTTTATGCACTGCATTTGTGTGATAAAAACAAACCACCCTGTCATTGTTTTTAGCATATAAAAGTTTTTAATATTTGAAGGTCATAAAAAGAAGTTTAAAGGTATGTAACTTAAATTATTTTTATTGTAGTTATTGCTTTTAGATGAATAAAATCTTAAAAATAATAAACAAAATTTAATTGATACTTAACCTCCATTTTTATATATATTGTTTTACAGAATTGATTACATATTATTTAACTAAAATATCTACTAAATGAAATAACAGTTCCAAAACTAGTATATAAAAATGTAGTTTAGGTATAAAGACTACTTTTACCTAAACCTGGGAGGATGGATTAATTACACTGTCCCAAAAACATACCAACCAACTTAGCCTGACATCATTTTTCATGAAAACATTGGAAAGGCTATGTGAAAGGTACATAAGGGATTTGGTGATTACAACACCACTACATCCATATCAACATGCATACACCCCAGGTATATCTACTGATTCAGCCCCTCACCTAGTTGCAGGCCGGATAGAGAGATATCCCTGGACAATAAAAAGTCCGCCTTGGGTGTTTTCATAAACATAGAAGGTGCTTTTGATATGTCGACCTTTCCCAAGATAATACACTCACTAACCAACAGGAATGTTCCACAGATGGTTAGTGGGTGGATACATAACATGCTCTTAAAGCGAGCAGTAAACAAGTGTATAAGATCTGGAACATGGTCCTCGACACCTTCATGAGCCGGCTCAATAATGACAGTCACTGCATAATAGCGTATGCAGATGACCTGGTCATTCTGCAAACACCAGTCGATATAAGAGAAGCACCTCTTGGCGACGTCAAATACATTAAATCTGTAGGCAAACTCACAGGATAGGAGGTGCTTATCTACTTAGAAGGATGCATAATGGGCCTCGGCCTAAGTGTCGTGGGTTAACCCTTCCTCCACACGTTACAGCTATAGAAGTTATATAGTTAATTAATTTTTCACAAATACGACATTCCATAATAAGAAAAGAAAACAAAGGAGATTACCACATACTTTTATTTTAGTGAGACAAATAAATACTAGTTTCGGTCACCAAGAGCCATCATCAGGCCTAAAAACGGGATTTGATAACAATAAGTGATTCAAAAGAAAAATGTAAGTTTCTTATTTATAGAATTATTTGAGCCCATATCTTCGTCTGCGTGAGTGCATTCAAATGCATTTCTCATATACACCGATGCTATATAGAGGTATTTGAAGATTTGAGAACGAACCTGAAAACGGCGCTTTGTCCGAATTAACACATCAAACTATCAGCTGGGTATCTACACAGTCAATGTCGCGATGGTCCAGTGGTTAGGGCATTTGTGTACAGAACACAGATGTCTGGGTTCGAATGATATATTAAATTCACAATTTTCTTGCTTATATTTAAAAAAGGAGATAAGTGGATAAACAAAAGTTTACATAAACTGTTTCCTCCTTATACCATTCAGAAAATGTTAATTTTAGTATGTGGAACGTGAAAATTTAATTGTATTATAAACATGTGTTCAATAATTTGTTCACTGTCTAAGGAGTTGGAAGAGGAAAGTAACTAAGGTAAAAGGATTTGTAGAAAAAATAGAGAAAAAATAAGCTGTGGGTTAGAGAAAAGAAAGAGGGTACAAATATTAACTGATAAGACCAATACACATTACTTAATACAAGATATTAAGAGGCTGAAGTGCATTGGCGTTAAAAGTTCATTGGGAAAGAAGACGTAAATAAAAGAATAAATGTATGAAAAGATTTAGGGAGAGGTGAAAAACTTTTTTGAGATTGGAAATGAAAAAGTAAGAAACTTAAATCTAACAAATATCATCCAATACTCTGGAGAGTTGAGACAGTCTAGGAAACATAAAAAATTAAGAGACCATCATGTGTTTGTTTTAGAGATGAAAGGTTGTGAGGTTAAAAGAGGATGAAATATAAGAAAGTTTGGTTGGGAAGTGGAAAGGATAAGGTTAACTGTAAGTGTAGATAGCTACAGCAGAAAGTTTAAGAAAGCAAAAATAGCTAAAAATTTATTGAAAATGTTAGTTAATATTGGGAAACCAATAACTTTGTATGTATAACTCACAAGGAACATTAAATCAACAATTTGATCAGAAAACAAATTAAAGGAACAATTGTGTAGGCAGGGAATAGATTGGCAACATGTGTTTTATAAAATTTTAATAATTATTCATTGTTTTCCTACCATCTGAAGTGCCGACTTGATTTTCTGCAATACTATCTAGTCTTGGAGGAGCACGTCTAGTTCTTGGAACTCTTCTAGTTTGCACGTTAATATCCAATTGCATTCTGACATCTAATACCATGAAACCTACTGTTATGAGAAGCGGAAGCCGGTACCTACAGTCCCATGCCAATTTTAGAAGGAATAGGAGGGGCTTCATGTTAAACCTAAAAGTGTTTTTATTACAGTTGTATACTTATGTGTTTTTAATATGACTAACAGTCTAGCAATAAAAATAGTCTATAAAACCAATTTTAACTCAAGATGCAAATCTTTGAGTTAAAAAAAAATGAGATAGGAGTAAAATTGAATTGCCAAAATGAAGTACTTAAAAAAGAGTAAACGGTATTATAAATAGAAGCCAAATTAAAAATAACCTATTACATGCAGCACTGAAAGTATTATCTTTGTAAAAACATATTTATATCAACTTGTGAAATTATTCATTTTAAATTAAAAAAAAATACCTAGTGCATCATAATTTCTTTTGCATTTAAATAAATGTGATTCACATTAAGAAACTTCAATTTTGTTGTGCAGGGTGAGCAAAAAATACAAATGTGGATTTACAAAATGAACATTTTAAAGTAGCATTTTTTGGAAGCCCTTTAATAAAAAAACTTCAGTAGGTATCCTGCTTTTCCCTTTCCTAAATATGGCAACCCTACTAAAAATAGTGTAACTAGATTTTCTTCAGGTTGGTTTACTACTCTTAAGATAATGTAAAAGTGACAATAACTGTGTTAAATCAAAAATGTAGATACTACTAAGGCTGTATTAATATTCTTAGGTACCTATTTATTTAATGAATCTGTACTGCTCTGATTCACAGAGGAATCACTATCATTATCTAATTGGTCGTATTTGACAAATTCAATAACTTCTCCTTGGTTCAGCGCTTGCTTTTGTGGTGCGATCGCTCTCAGTATCTGTGAACTAGGTATTGGTTCATCTAAATCTAAAACCTCTTCATCTACACGATCTATTCCATGAAAATTATTATCATTTAAAAATTCTTGCATACAAGCTTCTCTTTTTGCAGCTAACTGTGCTAGAATATTCGGGTCGTTCTTGATTTTTCTTAATTTTTCTTCTACAATATATCAATGATTTGTCATTATTTATCAGATTATAATTTTATATTTAGCTTACCTAGGACAGCTAGATATTCTTCAGAGTCAGGCAATTTGTTACTTATAGAAGGTGTGAAATTATCTTCAAATTCGAATTTTGTTGATTTTTCCGAAATAGCGATGTCTGTTTGACAACATACCCACGGATCCATTATTGATTGAATTTTTGGCCTTGACCTCATGTGTCAATGTAGCCAACACATTCCTACCATGGATTCCTACTACCAACACCAGAAAATAAAAAAAGAGACTATTTAAGACTTCAGATCCGTACTTACCAATATTTTAAGTATGTACTTGAAAAATTAATTACGCGGATTCACATGAAATATTGGCACAAACTTCTGTAAGAGATGAAAAATTTTACAAAATGATAATGATTCATATTTTACCGCATTTTGAATGATAACGAAAAATCATGTAGGTTAATAATTGTTTAGAATGATGGAGTAAAATTCGCAGTGCGCAGATATTGTTATACATATTATTTCCTTATTTCCGATAAATAACGAGGTGACATATCACTTTAGTGTCATAAAACTATAGGCCTGTAGTTTATTTTGACTTTTTTTTTAATGAAAGTGCAAATAAGTACCTATTGGTTCCACCTTTTTTTTAAACATACTGCGCGAGGTTTGATTTATCTAAGGATTTTGCTTACTAAGTGCAGATTGCGTTACTTTATTGTTTTGTAACTTTCTATTCTTGATCAACCTCTATACACATATATATGCGAGAGCATTTAAAGCTTCCTGTAGACTATGCGTGGACTCCATTAGATATATTTGTATAGTCGAGAATGTATATTGCTTGCTGATGAGTCCTAATAAGTTCGAAACCGGTGCAAGAATGATGTTCTCGTTAATATGCAATATCAAAGTTATAACTCGTATAATAAGTGTTAAAAATTATTTTTTCTAATTTTGACATAATAAAGTGACATTTTTTGTAATCGCGGCCAGTTTCAAAATAAAATGATATACTTACCTTGTGTAACCAGTTAAATAAAATTGAACATTATGTAACTGGTTACGAAAAATTCATTATCACCAGCTGAAAAAAGAAAAGCAAAATAAATCCTTTTTGTTTTAAAATCAATATATAAATTGTTATTGAAATTTTATATCGATAGATACAAAAATATATATTTTTAGTGAACTTACAATCTATTCGAGTTTTATTTTGGTCCTTATTTTCCATTCTAAATAGGCATAAAATAATCAAAACACAATATATGAACGACAAATTAACCCATTTTCTTGAAAACCAAATAACCTTAACAAGTGGTTAAGAATAATTTGATTTTCTATTTTTCAAAGTATGCCAATGAAATGAATGCACGTAATATTGGTTGCATCGATGTGTGTAACTTTTTCATTTTGCAGGACCTCGTTCTGCTCGCAGCGCAAAAATCCACTCGTTATATGAAATTTGGCATTTCGTAACTGGTTATATAATAGCACTTTTTCTTTGGATATAATTCAATGCCTGTTGCGGTATTAGCCAAATGAGTAGTTTGTTTGGTTTTTTTTGCGAAGGGAAATGGTCGCTCGTTTTATTTTGTGTGACATACGACTTCACGTGATTTAGTTTCAATTTAATTTTTTTTAATATCCGCGCCAAAACTTTGCATAGCTTTATTTCGTATATTTAAGTTGGAATATTGCATTTTTGGGGATACGGAACAGTCCCCATAGGGTGTCGTAATTCCACCTGCTTTTTACTTTCCTATCTGTATACAGATATAAGGAAAGTATAGGAATCATGATTTTTTTCGACCTCGAGTTTTCGACGGATTTTTACGTTTTGAGGTCCCCTGAATCCGTTTTGACTATTTTCGCGATGATGTCTGTGTGTGTGTGTGTCGCATAACTCATGAACCGATACACAGAAAAACACCAAATTTTAAACTTAAGCTTTGTTCCAGCGTCCAATGAGCTGATTAGATTTTGGGCAGAGTCGGAACATCTGGGGGGTACTTTATAGGTGGTTATTTTTATATTTTATGGAATATATCTGTTATTTACGTTTGGGAAAGAAAATTCTTTAAATAAAAGTTACTTCTTATATTATTGTCTATAATTTTTGTTGTATACAAAATTTTCCTAAAATGGTCCGTATTCGAAAAATTTGACAAAATGTAAAAAAATATTTTTTTATAAAAATTGTTCAAACAAAAGTTGTTTGTAATATAATTCTCTATAATTTTTATCCCATACATAATTTCTCTAAAATGGACCGTATTCGAGAAAATGTGTAAATTTCGAATTTTGAAGAAAACTCAAAAACGGATAAAGAAAAAAACAGTCAATTTTAAACTTAAGTTTTATTTCGGTCTGACGTAAAATGATTAGATTTTGGACAAAATCGGAACATCTGGGGGGGGGGGGTACTTTATGGGAGGCCGTTTTTATATTTTATGGAATATATCTGTTATTTATGTTTGGAGAAGAAAATTGTTCAAATAAAAGTTACTTCTAATATTATTGTGTATAATTTTTGCTTTATGTCAAAATTTCCTGAAATGGTCCGTATTCGAGAAATTTGACAAAATGTGCAAAATTCTGATTTTTATGAAAATTGTTGAACTAAAAGTTATTTGCGACATCGATCTCTATAATTTTTGTTTTTACATGATTTTCTAAAATGGACCGTAATGGAAAAATTGTAGGAAAAGTACTAAATTTAAACTTTTCAGTATTTTCGTTTTCAATTAAAATCTATCGAAAAATGTTTCGAGGTAGATGCCCAGACAACACACCAAATCCCAGAGATATCCACAGAATATCTTTTGTGGATATCCAATATATCCACAGGATATCAGAAATATTCCGTGGATCTAATATGGATATCCAAATGTCCGTCTATATCCAGAATATAGAAGATATCCCTATGGATATTCAGCAAAATATCTAATGAGTATCTTCCAGACAATACAAGAAATCCCAGAGATATCCACAGAATATATTTTGTGGATATCCAATATGGATATAGAATTCAGAAATTCAGCAAAATATTTTATAGGTATCTTTAGTAGAGGTTCATAAGTAACCAATGATTATTGAATAACGTCGAAAGAAAATAGAGATAAAAAATATTTCCAACAATCTGCCTTTGATTTTGCCCACTATAAGGGCACTAAGGAGAAAGTCATCCTCATCCTTATTAGGACTCTTCAGCAATAAATGGAAATTCTCGACTCCAGTCTCTAATAGAATCTGATTACGAAAAAAAAATTCGATCGAACTCATTTACGGCGGGTTGAGCATGAGTAGATACGAAAGTGGTATCGCCATCTATACTTAGGAAGCAAAATCAAAAATTACATCTAGTAGATATCCACGATGGTTTGCGTCCGCGCTTAGACTTTGATATATTTATATTTATAGTGGATGTCCATGGGATATTGAATACACCTTAAAAAAATTAATTTTAAATATCTGAACGGTACTATTAGCCACAATGGCGTAATTTTTTAATAATTTGCTATATAATTACTATTATTTATGGACATTTGCATGTCTATAAATTACATTTCATGGATATAAAATAGATATCCACCATGGACTGGATATTCAGTGGATATTGGGATGTTCAGTAGATATCCAAAGGATTTGGTGTGCTGTCTGGGTGTATGTGGAAAATGTATATATTTAGTTTATCCTCTAAAAATTTATAGAGGTGCTACAATAGGTTGTACAAAATAACCGGAAAAAACATATAATAACTAGATAGGAAAGTCATGTGTTGGACACATCAGATTTTTATCCTTAGGTAGTTGATCGTTTGTAGTAGAATAAAATCAGTGAATGTAACATTCTATCAAAATTTTAAATATCTCAAAAAGTAACTTCTTTTATTATGGATGTGTGTGCTCTTTAAAAAAAAAAGGTAAAGGTCATTCATTCCCTCAGTTGGGAGCGGGCCGCTATATGCATTCATAGCTTCTTCAGCCTCACTGGAGGAACCAGGGATGGGGTTCAAGTAATGGTGGTAGGTATCCGAGATGATCTTATTGGCCCATCATTTGCCACCTCGCTCGGTGTGCTCTTTTATAATCGTTCTTAATATATACAGGGCGTCATTGAAAATTTTGTTATACGGGTAGCATGGGGGAGTAGTAGGATGAAGTGTATGTATAATTGTAATTATGCCAACCTATACACTGTATACCTCAAAAATTCAAGATTCTCACTTAAATTTTACCAGATATAAAGCCATCCGAAGTTTTCACGCGGACCACACATATATGAGGTTTAAATATCAGCTTTGAATTGTTATAGATAATGTTTCACATATTGATAAATAAGTTTTGAAGTGTTGAATGTAGAAGTAGGATGTCTTAACTAAAATTCAGAGCATTGGATTATAGTAGTTTTTATTTTTTGGAAGCCATTTGGCTATGTTACCGAAAAGATAGGAGATGTTCATAAAATGCATTTCGTGATCTTCACGAATGTGAAATCAAATTTTCAAAATTCGCTAAAAAGAAAATAAAAAAGTCAAATCAAAGAATTCAGTGCAATAGCTTTAATATACAGATATATAAAATATATAAACTTAACAAGCACAACGAGCATAAAAATTAAAAAAAAAAAGTTTTATCAGATCTTTTTTGGAATAGATTTCCAGTACAAAAATATAATACTTATGTGTTGCTTGAATTACAGTTGCATAAAATAATGGATTCTTAATATTTTTGTTATCATAGACTACATAGTATTAGGCAACTAATCTTGTTGAAAATACGCTTAAACTATTATTGTCCATAATAAAAGAAGTTTCCAAAAGTTCTGCCACATTAATAAATTTAAACTATGAACATTTCCATACACAGAGTGTCTTTGGATGGACTGAAAAAGAGGAGGAAAAACTTTTTTATTTTCACATTTTCAAAAAAATGTCTTTCTTTATAAAAGTTTTTGCTTATTTCAAAAGCAATAATAATCCAAACAGCAGTTGAATATCTCTTTACTTTAGTGAAATAATGACAAAAACGTAATAAATATTTTTTTTCTCATTATTTCACTAAAGCAAATATATATTCAACTTCTGTTTGAATTATTATTTTAGAAACAGACAAAACTTTTATGAAGAATATTTTCTCTAAAAAATAAAAAAGTTTTTCCTCTTTTTCTACTTCTGTTTGAATTATTAATATTTTAGAAACGGACAAAAACTTTTATGAAGAATAACATTTTGTTTTTTTAATTAAAATTAAAGTTTTTCCTCTTTTTTCAGTCTATACGGGGAGACCCTGTACACTCCGGGACAAAAGTAACCTATCTATATTATATAGTACTTATTATTTTGTATTAGGCATAGCCGTGCTTTCACAGCCAACATGTAGAAACTATATCCCCGCTATCGCTATGCTCTCTGGCTTTGCAACTGATATTTGGTTCGGCTAATATCCCACCACCATATCATCTAATTCTAGTTGATCACTGGCTGTTGCCATTTTATTAACTTATATACTAGTCATATGCCCTTACACAAAAAAATAAGTACTATATATTAATATATCGGCGCTTTAATTTTGTCCAGGAATTTATTATACATGCAATAATATTAGAATACATTAATTTGTTAGTTAAAAAGGAATGTAAAGATAGTTTAGTTCAGATATAAAAATGGTAGTATTATCGCAATATAAGGCTGCTTCTGGTATAAAGTATTAGGAAAATACAACAAAACACTGAAGTTTGAGCTATTTTTAGTCTTCTGTAATGTTTTTCCTAAAATAATATTAAGTTCTAGGTACCTATTTATTTTTTTTTATTTTAAAACAATTTTTTAGTAGATAGTTTAAACCTCCTTAAAAATCTTTAATCTACAAAAATCAAGATGAATAACCAGCCTTAATCATTTAAATATATTTTAATTTTAATCGAAAATGTGTAATACTAGATATTTGAGAAATTACACAGCATTGTAATATTTGAGCATTAAATTTAGGATAATTTGATGTATCCAAAAACAATTTAACCTTTTGGGAGTGATAACATACAATATTAAAAAATTAAATGTTAGACTAAATCAAAATTGATTGATTTTTTAAAGAACATGCAAGAAAAATTTAAAACTTTATTTTGGCTTTTATTTAGTGAATTTTCAATCAAATATGTTTCTGTGGATTAAATTATTTTTGCAAATCAGCAAATTATACATTAACACAGTAAGCAGTTCCCCTTAAAAATTAAAAAATAACAATTTGTTATGAAACCATAAATAATTATCTGTCATAGTAATCAATACTATCTCCTGTCTTAAAATCACCCTTCTCTAGTATATCCAACATTTTATTAACAGTAACAGGAGGAGTTAGTACACTTGTATCCTTTATCTCCTTAAATGATTTTTTAACCTCATCAGATTGAGCAGTGTTGACAATAGTATTAAACATATCAGTATCAACTGGTCCTGGAGAGTAATTTATAACAAAAATATTTGGTTCTTCTATGGACAAAACTTTGAAAAATATTTCTCTTGCAGCTTTACCAGATCCATACATTGCTAAGTTAGCTAGAGGTCCCTTTCCAGCATAAGAACTGATGTTTATTATACACAATTGTGATGCCATAGATTGAATTTGTTTTATAAAGACACTATTCAGCAATACTAAAAAAAACCAATTGTTTTATTTATTTTTTTTTAATTTTATACAGTCAGAAAAATGTTTACATTTTACAACTACATATAGCGTTTTCGATTCCACTATCCTGCCTACATGGAGTGCACATAAAAGATGAGAGTGAAAAGTAACTGGTATCAACATATCTCCCACCTTTTGTATGCACTCAGTGCAAGCCGAGCACTGGAAACGAAAACGCTATAAGTTTCATCTTTTAGAATAATAAACATATTACCAGATACCCACCTAAAGAGAAAAAGTTAATATCAAAATGCTCTCTCCAAGCAACAAGATCAGTTAGATCTGATGTTTTTTTAACAGTACCCACATGCCCAGCATTATGAAAGATAATACCATATTGTATATCTTTTGTGTCCACACTAGATAATACTTGGTTGAAGATTTGTTCATAATCGTCAGCCTTTGGATTCGAGAAATCTATGCAATATGTTTGGACTGTAATGGACTTGTCCACCTCAGCGATTTGAGCTTTGGTTTCTGCTAGTCCTGCTTTGGATCTTGCTAGTAGAACCATTATTGATTGTTGGTCTAATTTTCGAGATATCTCAAGAGCTATTGATCTACCAATACCCCGAGAGGCTCCCGTAACAAAAACGATCGATTTTTTAGTAAAATCTATTGAAGTCATTTTGATTAATTACTCTGTCTTATTAGGCTTATTAGATCAAACTGTGCAGCATAGAATGAAAAAATTTGTTTCTATTTATATCACAATTAGGCATTCCAACGACCTGTCCAAATGGCTACCAGTGGGTACTGACAGTTTAGATATGGCAACCCTGTTGTCATGTTGTCATTAACAGGGTCAATGATACATATATGTTATATACATTGCTCGAAGCTGGTCGTTTTCGAGCAGCCATATTGCCTGGCAAATATTTATTAATTTGAATCAGTTTAGCAAAAATGTGTTTTAAAACCAATTTTCAGACTTTAGATATTTAAAAAATAATAATTGCTTATATTTTTACTTCAAGGCATAAGCTTATGTTTATTTTAAAAAATAGGGATGATCAATCTATGTAACTATCTATTTCACTCACCTTGTCAAATCACCAGGCCTACAGAGTTGCCATAACTTTGCCACATCATAACCTGTCAAAACCCACTGGTAGTCATTCAGTTTGGAATGCCTAATATTGTTTTATTATTAGGTTATGTAGTAATAAATGTGTCATGTCATTAGTCATTCCCACGGTCATTCCTATGTCATTCCACAATCACTTACTTTGTCATTCCACTTCTTTTTTCAATAAATCTCTTCCTCATATGGTTTTCTAATAACCATTTCTCATAAGGTCCGTATTTATAAACAATTAAATAATAAATTAAAAGTAATTAAATTAAAATAAATTAAAATAAATTAAAATAAATTAAAATAAATTAAAATAAATTAAAATAAAATAAAATAAATTAAAATAAATTAAAATAAATTAAATAAAATAAATTAAAATAAATTAAAATAAATTAAAATAAATTAAAATAAATTAAATAAATGAAAATAAATTAAAATAAATTAAAATAAATTAAAATAAATTAAAATAAATTAAAATAAATTAAAATAAATTAAAATAAATTAAAATAAATTAAAATAAATTAAAATAAATTAAAATAAATTAAAATAAATTAAAATAAATTAAAATAATTAAAATAAATTAAAATAAATTAAAATAAATTAAAATAAATTAAAATAAATTAAATAAATTAAAATAAATTAAAATAAATTAAAATAAATTAAAATAAATTAAAATAAATTAAAATAAATTAAAATAAATTAAATTAAAATAAAATAAATAAAAAATAAATTAAAATAAATTAAAATAAATTAAAATAAATTAAAATAAATTAAAATAAATTAAAATAAATTAAAATAAATTAAAATAAATTAAAATAAATTAAAATAAATTAAAATAAATTAAAATAAATTAAAATAAATTAAAATAAATTAAAATAAATTAAAATAAATTAAAATAAATTAAAATAAATTAAAATAAATTAAAATAAATTAAAATAAATTAAAATAAATTAAAATAAATTTAAATTAAAATAAATTAAAATAATTAAAAATAAATTAAAATAAATTAAAATAAATTAAAATAAATTAAAATAAATTAAAATAAATTAAAATAAATTAAAATAAATTAAAATAAATTAAAATAAATTAAAATAAATTAAAATAAATTAAAATAAATTAAAATAAATTAAAATAAATTAAAATAAATTAAAATAAATTAAAATAAATTAAAATAAATTAAAATAAATTAAAATAAATTAAAATAAATTAAAATAAATTAAAATAAATTAAAATAAATTAAAATAAATTTAAATTAAAATAAATTAAAATAAATTAAAATTAATATAAATTTATATAAATTTAGTCTCAACTTTCGTTTAGCCGAAATCTGTTAATGCAAAATAAATTGTGATGGCTATGAGTAAACAAAAACCCAAATCTCGTGGTGGGGAAATGCGTATTTGCCAAGTTATAGATCATTTAATGTTCACTTTAGTTTAGTCGAAATCAGTTAAGGTCGTTACGAAAAAACTGTTTTCATGGAAACGCTTGTCATGCTAAGGACTAAACAAAAATCCAAATCCGGCAGTGAGGAAATGCGTAGTTGCCAAGTTATAGATTATTTAATGTTTACTTTAGTTTAGCTGAAATCAGTTATGAAGAAACTGTTGCCATGGAAACGCTTTATTGCTAACGACTAAACAAAAACCCAAAATCTCGTGGTGAGGAAATGCGTGCCCAGACAGCACACCAAATCCTTTGGATATCTACTGAACATCCCAATATCCACTGAATGTCCAGTCCATGGTGGATATCTATTTTATATCCATGAAATGTAATTTATAGACATGCAAATGTCCATAAATAATTGTAATTATATAGCAAATTATTAAAAATTACGCCATTGTACTCGCCATTGTGGCTAATAGTACCGTTGAGATATTTAAAATTAATTTTTTTTAAGGTATATTCAATATCCCATGGACATCCACTATAAATATATCAAAGTCTAAGCGCGGACGCAAACCATCGTGGATATCTACTAGATGTAATTTTTGATTTTGCTTCCTAAGTATAGATGGCGATACCACTTTCGTATCTACTCATGCTTAACCCGCCGTAATTGAGTTTGATCGACATTGTTTCACAAACAGACTTCATTAGAGACTGAAGTCGAGCAGTTCCATTTATTGCTGAAGATTCCTAATAAGGATGATTTTCTCCTTAGTAGGCAAAATCAAAGGCAGATTGTTGGGAATATTTTTTACCTCTATTTTCTTTCGACGTTATTCAATAACCATTGGTTACTTATGAACCTCTACTAAAAATAATTATAAAATATTTATCTGAATTTCTATATCCTGGGATATAGACGGACATTTGGTTGAAATATCCACAAAATATATTCTATGGATATATCTGGGATTTCTTGTATTGTCTGGAGATACTCATTAGATATTTTGCTGAATATCCATAGGATATCTTCTATATTCTGGATATAGACGGACATTTGGATATCCATATTAGTTCCACGGAATATTTCTGATATCCTGTGGATATATTGGATATCCACAAAAGATATTCTGTGGATATCTCTGGGATTTGGTGTGCTGTCTGGGTGGTTGCCAAGTAGTGGTTAGTAGGTGGATGGAACGATCGTAGCGTGATCTTATGATGTAGGTGGAAAAAGAGCACGCAAATTTAAATAAATTTAATTTAAATAAATTTAAATAAATTTGAATAAATTTATATAAATTTAAATAAATTTAAATAAATTTAAATAAATTTGAATAAATTTAAATAAATTTAGATAAATTTAAAAGTATATGTTTCTACAAGCTTTGGGGTATATTTTATTTCATTATCAGTATGCGCCAGGGATACAAATCCGAGTTGCGCAATGTATAGACTGGAACATTGAGATCAAAAGTGCCGACGCAGAGTGAGCGAACTAATTCTTTAGCTATAAAATGTGCCTCTACTAAAGATACCCATAAAATATTTTGCTGAATATCCGAATATCTTCTATATCCTGGGATATAGACGGACATTTGGTTGGATATCCATATTGGATATATTGAATATCCACAAAATATATTCTGTGGATATCTCTGTGATTTCTTGTATTTTCTGGAAGATACCCATTAGATATTTTGCTGAATATCCATTAGGATATCTTCTATATCCTGGATATAGACGGACATTTGGATATCCATATTAGATCCACGGAATATTTCTGATATCCTGTGGATATATTGGATATCCACAAAAGATATTCTGCGGATATCTCTGGGATTTGGTGTGTTGTCTGGGTTGTTCGTTGGGACTTCTTTATTAACTGTTTTAAGTATCTATCGCTCTTGTATGGTTGATCTCCGATTTCAACCAGTTGTCGAACCTAGTGCAATGAACCTATATAACCTTACCTGAGAAGATAAATCTAGCGGTGTTTATTATTTTTGCGCACAGACTATTTTATTACAAACATTTTTAACTTCAAATTGTTGTTTTTGAGTTACACAAAAAAGTACATTTTTGAATTAGTTAAGTTCGTTTCCATTATTAAAGAGACCAGCAAAAACGTAAAGTTAGTCATGTGTATCATGTTTTTGGTCAAATGATTTACTGCTAAAATATAACGTCTACATTGTTATTTTTGAGCATTTTGGAAATAAAAAATGAAACTAAATGGGTTTTAAAGTAACTTCAATACGTTATAATGAAGGCGATAATTTAATCCCAACTGAATTTTTAAAAGCTATATTATGTTGGTACTTTTATATACCTACCAAAAGCAATGCTTTGAATCAATTTTTCTTAGAGTCTAGCATTTATGATGTTGGTACGGCATGCGGTGCATGATTAATTAAAAAGTAATGATTATGATATTTGGTCCTAAATACGGATTTGTAAGTACATTTTACTGTAGTGTACACGCATACAATTACGAACATAATATGTAACTCTTAAAAATGTTTTTAGTATAAAAATAATGTAAAAAACAGTCAATTTCTAATAATTTAGTAATTTTAGTAAAAATTAAAAGCCTATCATTATTTTTTTTTTGCTTCTTCCAAATATGAATACAAATTTAACGACTTGTAGTGTGTTCTTATAAGGATGGGCAAATTTAAATTTATTTAAATTTAATATATATAAATAAATAAATTTAAATTTGCCCATGTTGGGATCAGGTACGTGATCCGAGTATCAGATCCTTGGATCAGTTCTAGTATTCATTCGTCATCACTACCTTCTATTCACATTACCAATTACAATTACCATGCATATAGTTCAATGGCGATGCGGAAGTGTTTTTTTCACATTATTTAGGTAATAGTTTGCTCCGTTTGAACAGTACCTCGTTTTGATTTTTTTCTTCGATACCGCCCTTTTTCTCCGTTTGCTCCATTGATATATGGTTTGCTCGATATGTATTGTTTCCAAAAAATGTATCACTGTTTATCCTAGTCATGTACCTAACTAATTCATTGTAGGTATTGTAGGAATGATAGAATAAAACAAAATAATCTACTAAATTTATATTTATTTTTTTTTAATCATTAACATCAACATTATGTAAATATAGAGATATTTCTGAACAACTATATTAATCCTACAATTTTGATTGAAGGTTCACAATGTAGGTATTTTAATTACTAGTAGGAATAAATCCACCTAAAATTGAAAAATGGAAGATTTGTATTTTAATTTTTCACCAAAACAAACTATTTTTGATGATATTTAAACTTTTGCGAATATCCTGTGTTAAAAATAATGGCATCGCAATATTAGCTTTAATTTGTCACTTAAAATCAAGAATATTAAATTTGTTTGGATATAATTTCTACAAATGACCCATATTTCAATTTGATATAATAAACAATTCTTTGTTTTAAATCTCCAAATAAAACAACTTCTAAAATGTAACAGAATAACATTTTCTACGTAACATTTAGAGCTCATTTTTTACAAGGAATGGACCTATTCAACCCTGATATTTTAGAAAAATTCTTTTGAGTTGTTCATCCAAATAAGGCTCTTTACAAAAACGAAATTCATCTACTTTAGAATCGGAAAGAATTCACAGCTAAAACTTTCAAATAGGTAGGACATTCAGGACAAAATGTATGCTAGTTTAGTTTAGATCCATCCAACCCTCATAGGTCGGGCAACTAGTCCACAGTGCTCTACCTACTTTAAAAGTTTTTTCTCGAACCTCACGATATCTTATTTCGCCACCAGGAAAAAAGTACAAGTGGCGATTCGAAATCGGTGAACTTAAATACAGGAACGAACAGTGTAAAATATAGAAAAAAGAATGAAAAAGGCCCAAATAAGATATTGTGAGAATTTTGAGACGGGCACTCGTTAACGTGTTTTCTAGTTTTAAGGAGTCCCAATTTTGAGAATAGCTCATAAGCCATAACGGAACATCCATAATAAAATAAGAAACTCGGAACAAAAGACTTGGGCAAAGTCATTTTGAGGTCATCAGCGTCAAAATTATTATTAAAATGAAGCATGAAGTAATGAACTAGTAGGTGGGATATCTGATGGTGAGGAGATCTGCAGGACAATGATGATGTGCTGGGAAAATGTCGAGGGAAGACTTTAGACGGGAAAGGAGTGGAAGAAAGGATGAGGGAAAGTGTTTTGTTAGCCGTGCATTCGCACAACTCGTCCGGATACCCTCAGCTTGGGAAACGGCAGAAGAAAGCGTAAACGAGATCGTAGTTTTTGATGCTGCACTGCTGCACATCGCGCCGTTGCCAGTCCCCCAACTGGTTTAAAAAGAGTACCTCTTTTGAAGTGTCCTTTGTTGGGGATAGCTGAAACAAAATAAATAATTTACTAATTAAAAAATCTATTAAATTATACTGAAATGGCTCATTTTTGTTTGTTAATTATATTGCAATTCCAGCTTTTAAGAATCACTTCAGTGTTTCTTATATTAAGGTTTGACCACATTTAGTGTGGTGAATCTTATCTCAGACGGTAACACAGGTAATGTTTTATTCCACCACGAATTCAGATCGTCATTAGTGATAAACCCTAACATACGCATGAACTCAGATTGTCATTACGTATGTATTCTGGTTTGGCCCGAGGTAGAACTTATCGGATGCAATTTCATCTGTCATAGTTGGTTTAGAAAAATTTTAATGGCTCCAGGCCGCACACGTTAGGTAAATCAGTTATTTTTTTTTATTTTTCGCATTTTATGTACATAAAGCTGGATTTTTTATTATTACGATTGGAAAAACGTCGTAGAGCATTCATCTTTGCTTTTTTAAAAACTTCCCAACAAACAATAAATTTCCAGGATATTGCTGTAATTGAATGAAAAATGAATGTTGCTTAATGATGGCCTTATGGTAAGTAACTGTATTGGGTAAAATTCAAAAGGCTTTTAATTGCCGCAGACCCATCTCCAACAGTCCAGAGAAGGGCTCCGTCCCGCGTTCATAAATGGAGATACCGATAATCGCTTGTTACATACTTAACGAGGCCAGTCTCGCATTGCTGGTATTCAGTATTCATTGTAATTTTTTTGAAGAAGACATTTTTTCTGTATTATTATATTATATAGCCGAATTAAATAAAATGTCTACAATTTTCTATATTGAAATGCCTTCTGTTTTTGTATAGAATTTATAGTTCAAACGGTACTACTGGTCAAAGAGGCACTATCGAATATCCTGTCTGGTTATATGCCTGACACATGGCCTTTATTCAGCAGTCAGTATTAATATGGTAAAAGGCCAGCAATTTCCCGTTAACTTTCCACCATTTAATGGCCAAGTGACTTCGGCCCGACTGTCGGCCGTAGTAAAGTTAAATGGCCTACTATTGGAGGGTAACAGTTATTGGGCCTTTTATTACACTGCACAAAATGTTTGCTGGCTTAAAATAGCTTATATTAAAGTTTGCTACTGCATTAGTCATCTGTCAAATTCGGCATTTTTTGAAAAATCGTTCAAAAATTGAATTTGAACTAATGTCAGTAGCTACCTTTGATATGGACTATTTTAAGTTTTTGAATAAGTATATATAGGTGATTGCCCTACGACTTTTTTTCAATCTGAATATTAAAAAAAAAATCCCATGTTATGGATCCAACTTTATGGAACACACTGTGTATTTTTTTGCGAAACAAACCTGCGATGGCTCCAGGTTAGGTAAATTAGTGAACTTTTTTTCTTGATTTAACCTTCAAAGTTCATGTGTAGGATTAGAGCCCCCACTTTGATACTTCACCGTATCAGTTGTATTGTCCTTTCATTTAGTCTAATTTTTTTCAAATTTAGGTTTGTTAATTTTTACTATTCCTATTTTTATCATGACTTACAAGAACATTTTTAAGGATAACATTTTGCGAAATTCCGATTATTTAATGACGGTTTTTATGATTATAATAGATTTCCGAATAAGTATAATTACAAATCTGATATTGCTTTATATTCTGATAATCTTTTAACTATAGATTAATTAAGTTGAAGGTTATCAATTTATCAAAGATTTTAAATTATTTTAGCCCGTTGACCTTAGAGAATTTATCAAACGAATAGTAAATATATTTTTAAACCCTATCTAAATTTAGAAAATAAAAAAGAAATTTGTTTTTGCATCATTTTTAAAAAATACAATTATAATGTAAACATATGGAACATTTAACATGCACTTTGAATGGTTGTCGCTGACTTCAATTGATAAATAAGTATTTAAATAAAATAATATTGTCTTACTTTTGGGAAATGTTGTTCCTTATTTATTTAAAAACAATTGGTAATAATCTAAAATTAAAATAACTTGAGACAACACAAGATACAACCTATACTACAGGGTGTCACTATATTCCACTATAAACGTTCTACCCCTGAGAGCTCTTGTTAATTGATAAAGGAACATGAATGCTGTCGATCAAAATTCAAAATTTTTCATAAATCAAAAAGGTCTTTGATCTTCCCAAATAAATGAACTATTAAAAATTTGTCACGTGCTTAATATAGATTAGAATTTAGAAATATTGAGTCGTTACAAATAATTATCTAAGTACATAAAGATTTTTGTTTGGAAGCAAATTTCTACAAAACCGTTCATTTTAGCTCAATAAAAGGTTATTAGTTTTTTAACTAAAAATAAGAGGGATTTAAAAAATGGCGTAAAAAGTTGCCACTAATACTGATAGCGCGCCACTGGAAGTTAGTAGATGTCAAAATATTTAAAGGCATTTTTGATTTATAGCAAATTTTAAATTTTCAACAATCTGTATCTCGGTAACTAAGCCCTTTAAGGGTTCATGTTCCTAATCCAAATTCATCAATTAAAGAGAGCTCTCTAGAGTAGAGCGTTGTCTGTCGAATATATAGTGACACACTGTATAAAATCTCTTGTCATTTTATTAGTTTGTTTTTCCTTGTTTGCGCACTAATTTATTTATTAACAATATTAATAAATCCTATTTTTTTGTGTAGCTATAAAAATTTTTGTCCTGAAATGGCACAAAGTTATTCTTTGCTATTTTTCCTACTACTAATTTCATGGTTTTAAAATTTTGAAGAAATAGAATAGTTATTTATGCAACAAGTGTGTAAAGTTATTCTATTTTGACGAACGTGAATGTTGAATCAAAAAAGGGACTTTACACACGAGTTGCATACAATTTTTTTTCTACTACCGTACACATTATCCACTAATATTAGAAATATAAAAGTTACTATTTCACTAAAATTACTTTTTTTTACTTTACGCACTAGTGAAAAAAGTACAAATTGGAGTGGAGTGTGTAAAGTATGTACTTTACGCTCGGTAGTAGAAAAATAAAGTCTATTTTATACAGATGTGAATTTAGAATAATTTTCTGATTAATCCATAGTTGACATTTTTGGAGCGTGATAGTGTGACGTCACTGATTCCAAACAAAACAAAAAGAAAACGTGACAATTATTGTCATACTTGTCAAATCTTTCAAGCATTGCCATGGTAACATTATTATTTTCTTCGAAAAAAATTACATATATTGCCAGGATCATGGCTAACACATTCCAAAGTCTGTAACTAACAAATATTTTAGAGATAAGAAAAATATGTTTAATTTTATCAAGAAACGACAAATACTTACTTGGTTGGAGAAAACAGTGACTGTAAACTTTCCTGGGTTGAATGTTTCCAGCACGTTAGTGATAATCTCCTTGTAAGAGCTGGAAGGAATGTTTGTCTCAAAACTAACATAGGAAAAATCAGGTTCCGGAGTGATATGGATAGTCATGTAGCAGCCCTAATGGATAAAAGAAATATTATTATTACTATTATTATTTATAATAAAAATATTAATTCGACAAAAATAATTATGTAAAAATTAACAAATAAACATAAGAAAACCGAATTAGGATGGACGAATAATGTTTGACAAACTGTATTATACTAATGCGTTAAAGTAGGGCCAATAAGTTGCTTCAATAGCACAATTTTTCCAAGCTTTTTTTAACATTTTAACTGATTATAAAATTGGTTTAAGCTTGATATGAACTCATCCTATTATACAGAGATATGTACCAATCCAGAGAAACTAGAAAATCTAGACTCAAATATACACTTAATTCATCTTAGTGTAGTGGAAAATGAAGAGAAATGAAATTTTACTAAAACGACTAGATATATAGAAATAGGTATTTAAACTTGTGAATATAATAATTAGTGAATATACGAGAACATTTTTTTTTAATTTCTTTTGGCTTTAATTGTATTCACTATTCATCATCAAAATTATTGTTTTTCATTAAACTTCATGTATCAAGAATTATTGTGCTTGGGCGAGCGTTTCCACTTTGCCTATAACACATTTATTTACGACAACCCCACTTCAAGCAATTGTGTCCGGAGATGTCACAATATTTCTTGAAACATTTCTAAAACTTTTTCTAAAATAAAATATATAGAAAACGAAATAAAAGAGTAGTAAAGCAGATAATAACCCAAGGGCACACGGCCTTTTTTGGAGCCAACATTCTCGACAATCTTCCGTCACGTGATAATGAGTTAAAACAATATGCGATCAAAGGGGCATAATGCATAATGTCCCATTCGCGAATATCCACTTGTGCAGTGATTTAATCTGAGCTAAATTGCTGGCACAACGCAATTTCTAAAGGCGGATACAGATCTAGCATGTACGCGTATGAGGCAAGCCGAGGACGCATGAGCATGCAGATGTCGACGAGCTTCAGAGGCGCGGCAAATTGCCTCGTTGTGTGCGCCGTACGGCCTCGCCCAATCCGTTTGTTGGCGGTACATCAAAGGGAGGCAATACCGCAGAACGTGCCCAGTCTGGACGGGGAATTTGTACCAAACAGCAACGTACAGATTACAGCGAATTTATTTTGCATGGAGTGGAACCAGGAAAACATTTTACTTCTCCTGGATTTTAATAATCAGCGTGGTATCTTCAGAAAGTAAAACGCCAGTTCTATTACAACACCATAAAAAAAGAATATCCTTGGCAGGAAATCGGCCATCGATTCCTTTCTCTCCTTTTTTCTTTAATATGTCGGATAAAATAATAAAACATGCACTCAACTCCGTGACGTCGTCCTCTTTCATTTTTGTTTTATTTTACGAATGTTCTGGGTATACGGTTGCGTGCTCGCGAATTTACTGGATCAGTGGCGAACAGCGCCTCGTGCGTTCACCATTCGTATATACAAAATGCGTCGCACGAGGCATTCGGTTAGGCCTCGACTTGCCTCATACGCGTACCCAGACAACACACCAAATCCCAAAGATATCCACAAAATATCTTTTGTGGATATCCAATATATCCACAGGATATCAGAAATATTCCGTGGATCTAATATGGATATCCAAATGTCCGTCGATATCCAGAATATAGAAGATATCCTATGGATATTCAGCAAAATATCTAATTAGTATCTTCCAGACAATACAAGAAATCCCAGAGATATTCACAGAATATATTTAATGGATATCCAACCAAATGTCCGTCTATATCCCAGGATATGGAATTCAGATATTCAGCAAAATCTTTTATAGGTATCTTTAGTAGAGGTTCATAAGTAACCAATGATTATTGAATAACGTCGAAAGAAAATAGAGATAAAAAATATTTCCAACAATCTGCCTTTGATTTTGCCCACTAAGGGCACTAGGCGTAAGTTATCCTTATTAGGACTCTTCAGCAATAAATGGAAATTGTAGACTCCAGTCTCTAATGAAGTCAATTACGGCGGGTTGAGCATGAGTAGATACGAAAGTGGTATCGCCATCTATACTTAGGAAGCAAAATCAAAAATTACATCTAGTGAATATCCACGATGGTTTGCGTCCGCGCTTAGACTTTGATATATTTAGTGGATGTCCATGGGATATTGAATACACCTTAAAAAAATTAGTTTTAAATATCTGAACGGTACTATTAGCCACAATGACGTAATTTTTTAATAATTTGCTATATAATTACTATTATTTATGGACATTTGCATGCCTATAAATTACATTTCATGGATATAAAATAGATATCCACCATGGACTGGACATTCAGTGGATATTGAGATGGTCAGTAGATATCCAAAGGATTTGGTGTGCTGTCTGGGTACGTGCTTAGATCTATACCCGCCTTAAGACGCGTCCGCCTCAGACAATTTAGTTCATATACAAAAAAATTACATAAGTCGTGACAGTGATAATTGTTTGTATTAAAAATAACAATCCTAATAATATTGTGAACCTACCTTTTGAACCTCTTACAGGATTTCTAATTTGTATATTTTATATACTTTTCAATTATTAATATACCTATACAGTAGGATGGGCCGAAAAAATGAAAGTTAAAATTTTAATTTGCTATAGCATTTAAAAGCTGCGTTTCATTATAAAAACTGCTTGTAATTTTTTTTTACAATTTTAAAATTATATTTTCAGCCCTCTACCAGCCCCAGAAATTGCTAAAAATTAAATGTAAAATTTTAATTAGCTATACCCATTAAAAGCTGTATATAAGCATATACTCTGGTTATTTTTTTTTCGAAATTGTAGAAATACGTTTTAAGTCCCCTTAGAAAATTTATATAGACAATGAAATTTAAGCTATATTCGGGCGGTCGACTAGTTTAAATATATTTCATGCGGTTTGAAAACGGTTTGTACTATTCTCATTCGAGTAACCAAACAATGACGTCACGTTGAATTAGGTTTAAACCACTGGTGGTTTAAACCAGTTGCATCTGTTTTTGAAACGTTTCATTACGAACGGTTCAAGGAAATACAAATGTCATTAATGTCAAAAATAGTATCGAACATCATAGAGCAGAGCATACATAATCAAATAAATGATAAAAAAATTATTTTTTATGGTTATAAGAAAAATTAGAAAATGCATAATTATGAAGGTTAATAATTTTTGAAAACTTGATCCTGTAATTCTAAGTTGGATTCTAAATAACGATCTACTTTGCATAAAACTCTGGTAATATTATAATATGAGCTTCTCTTTGACATAGGCAAAATATTATCTGTAGCTAGAGATTTACAAACTCACAAATCGTTAACTGTCAGTGACATCACTGTTTTAAAATCAACTATTTGGGCGCTTTCAAAATCTATGACGTAGTATTAAAACTGGTTCGAAAAGTTGTTAAAAATATTTTTAAACCAAAGAGACCGCTCGAATATGGCTTTACTTTCGTCATGTCAAAATTGAAATACCGATTTTTAGTAGAATTGTATAAAAGCTATGAAAGCGCCCATTAATTTTCACTCTCTTTAACATCCCACTCCCACCCTTACCTAAAAATAGTACGTACTTTTTAAACATTATATCTTCTCAACGTCAAATCACCTAAAACTGTAAGCTATTTAAATAGGTAGAAACAAAACAAGACCTGTTAATTATTAGAATTCGCAATTTGCAGTTGTCGATGCAAGATTTAACAGGTTTTCGGGGTTGGTTATAAATACGGTATTTCTTATATTATGTTCCTAATCGTCGTACAGCGAACATTTGCGGAAGTCAAGCATTGTAATAAACAAAAATGAGTGTTTTAAATTGTAGTTTAACTAGGAGTAAAGCAAGGGCGGCTCCGAGGGGGGATGAGTTATGGGGACCATGCCCCCCGAGACGAAAATTCTTACGACTTATGAGCCTTTTATTCATGTATGAAAAGACCCGGAAAGTACCTACTAAGGAACAACATTTTTTTTTCTGATCAAAGATCGGTCAAAAAATGAGCACAGGGAATGTAGATCGTGAAGAAACAAAGAAAATATTGTCGAAGAAATAAAGAAAATATTGTCGAAGAAACAAAGAAAATATTGTCGAATAAACAAAGGCAATCTAGAGAAATCGAAAGACTAAAAAATATGAATCAGACTCTTGCAATTTATTTAGACACAGCTGTTCCTCTCAAACTACTACATTATTGTCAGGGTCAGAATCTGAGCCCTCAAAATATCAATCTTCTTCAGATGACGACTTTATCAATCCAAACTTACCCTCAACTTAAAAAAACATTCAAATGAGAACAAAGTTACCTACGTTAGGTTTTGTTTCCATAAATATGATCAATCAGCTGCTGCGATTGCTAGTGCAGTATTAAAAGATGTAGAAATAATTAGCACAGAAGATCCGTCGAAAATAGTTGACAAAAATAAAGTGAGAAGAGAGCGGAGAAAATCTAGAAATACCGCAAGGAAGGAGTTTGAAAGTGATAACATTTTGATGGAAGAAAGGACAAAACTTTACTGCAAGAGAATAAAAACGGTAGATTATACAAGAAAACTGTTGTCGAAGAACACATATAGATTATCGAGGAACCTGAATCTATCTATATTGCCAACGTAACTCCAACTACAGGGACGGCAAAGTCAATTAGAAAAGCATTATTCGACTTTTTTGCTAACAAGTATTAGAAATTAAAAATTAAAAAAAACCGACTTCAAAAACGTGCAGATCCATCAACCCATCTTAACCAAATTTATATGGGACCACCCCTGAGGTACCCCCTTACTAACAAAAAAAAAAAAAGAATCAAATCGGACAAGGTGGCAAAGCATTATCGCTAAACATACATAAACAATGAAGAGTTTGAGGATTTTCTCATACCCAATTATTAGATTTTGACCAAATTTATATGGGACCACCCCTAACAAAAAAAAAAAGATCACTGAAATCGGACACCGTGTTAAAGAATTATCGCTGAACATACATAAAAAAAAATATTGCGACGAATTGAGAACCTCCTTCTTTTTTGAAGTCGGTTAAAAACAATTTGGAACTAGATGATTTTGCGGCTGTGGGTTGCGATGGTACTGTTGTTAACACCGGTAATAAAAATGGCGTTATTAGTTATGTTGAGACTGAATTGAAACGTTCTTTACAATGGTATATTTGCCAACTACACGCTAACGAATTGCCATTAAGACATTTATTCCAACATTTAGATGGCAGCACAGTGGGACCTCGTCAATATTCTGGTGAAATCGGGAAGTCTTTAGAAAAATGTGAACGTCTTAAAATTGTAAATTTTACCCCAATAAAATGTAAGTTGACCAATATAACTGTAGATATTTAAGTTCTAATCAATCATATTTACATGACATTTGCAATGTAATATAAGGCGTCAATTTGTCATCAAATTTAGCACAACGTACATAATCCTGGGAAATTAGCACACTCTAGATGGCTTACAATTGCAAATCGTGTTCTTCGGCTCTACGCTGGAACGAAAAAGCCAATATTAAAGTGTATGCTGCAATGTGGTTTAATATTAAACTAAATTTCAGTTCCACTAGTGGTAGTTTGCATGTATTTAAAACAATTCAACTGTCACGGTATTTAAGAGATGATTTAAAAATTATTGTGGATACGGTAATCCGTACGTATTTTATACACCCTGAAAACATTCTTTTGTGTATGCTAACAGACACTCGTGAATGGGTTCGGGAACTATCTCCACGAAGAATCTTAAAAGCTAGAGAAACCAGACGAGAAACCGTTGAGGTAAGACGGTACCAAAAATTAATTTCAGTGCAACAGACTACTTTGAGTTAATTTACTGAAATGAGTGCGACGTGACACCGCCTCCTTTCAAGGGATTTTACTGATGATAATGCTAGGGACCTTATAAACAAAACCGAAATTCCAGACTTTGATTTTCCGAAGTTCCTTTGCCATACTCAATCCGTGGAGAGATGCGTAAAATTAGTTACAGAGTCATCTTCTTTAGTAATTGGCCCAGAATCAAGAAACGGCTTTATTCGCTTAAGAATAAAATCAAAACAAATTTTACCAACATTTGAAAGTAAATGACAATTTAAAATTCAGTAAATGTTTTTTTATTACTATGTTTTTTTGTACTTGATGCTTTTTATATTTAATTTGTAAGCTTTTATGTTTGATTTGTTAACTTTTTATGTTTGATTTCTATAGGTACTTTTTTTTAAATAAATCTGTTGTTTAGTTTTAATCGTTATTTGTTGTTCAAGTAATTTTTACCTTATCTTTTAAAGACACTAAAATGTAATTTTCAGTAGGTATTGTACGTCAAAATTTCAAACTTTAACTTTTCACCCCTAAAGGGGGCGGTAGAGGGCTGAAAATGTGGATTTAAGAAATTTTTAAAAATTTACGAAAAGTAAGCACAACAAAACGCAAGTTTTGATAGGTATTGTAAATTTAATTTTTATATTTAAAAAAAATGGCCTATTTCGGCCCAGCCTACTACACATCGCCAAAATTCTTGGACCCCCACGTAAATATTAAAACGAAATATTTATCATGGCTGCCTTTTGGTACATTTAATCTTTATTTATTTCACCGTTGATGAGTGGCGGCTAGTGAGCAAAATATTGGGGGTTCACAATGACAGAATATAGATCTCAGTACAGATTTAGGTAAAATTCATATCGATTTTGCGTGTTTAAGTGATTGTTGAGTTTTTCTTTGCAACTATGGAAATAGAATTCCAGTGTTCAATAGAGCAAGAATAGTGGCTTTGCATGATGAAGGTCTGGCGAATCATCGTAACGCAGATAGACTAGGGATTCCCCGCGCTTCAGTTATCTGAATAGTGCGTTTGTACCAGGAAACTAACAGCGTTAACTGGAGACGTGGGACTGGGCGTCCTAGGGTAACTAATCAAAGAGAATATCGGTACCTATGTAGCAGGTTATGTACGTCGGAATCGAACCGTAACAGTCTCAGCTGTCCGAACTCATTTTAGAAGAACGTATGGTCGATTCATTTCCAGTACAACAATACGGAGGAGACTTGCTGGAGCCAATTTACGATCTAGGAGACCATTAAGAGTACCCAGGTTACTTCCCAGACATATAGCTGCTCGTCTACAGTGGACACAGGAACACAGAGACTGGCTTTTAGCTCAGTGACGAAATTTTCTTTTTTCGGACGAAACCAGATGTGGTTTAATTAGTGATAGTCGGTGACACAGAGTTTGGAGAGGGCCAGGGCGACCAAAAAGACTATCTTTTGCCAAAGAAGTCGTTCCATACCAAGGAGGAACAGTAATGTTTTGGGGAGGCATAATGCATGGTGGTCGTACGCAGCTTATTCCCATTCCAGACACTATGACAACTGATAGATGTTCGAAATATTATTCAACCCATTATTTATCCTCTCCGAAATGAAATTAGAGCCAATTTTATTCTCATGGATGACAATGCTAGGCCCCATCCCACGAGAAGGATACAAAATGCACTAGAAATTCAGAATATTCAAAGATTACCGTGGCCAGCAAATTCGCCAGATATGAATTCCATTGAGCACATGTGGGATTTCGTTGGACGAGCAATCTCAAACAGAATTAATCCTCCTATCACCCTCCAGGAACGCACAGTCGTGGCCCAAGAAGAATGGAGCAACATCCCAATGGATTACATTAACACCCTTATTGTTTCCATGCACAAGCGAGTTAATACCTCACTACAGAACAGGGAAGGACTCATTGAATATTAATGAATTTTTGATTTTGCTGGTTTTCTTCTGGAATTCAAATTCTAGTAATCATTTTATTATGCACTATTTTTTGTTTGTATTTTTTTCATGTTCAGTTAAAATTTAATTCAACCACTTTGTATTGGATACATAACCAAATTAAATGTACTATGTAACACACTTCTTGACTTTTATTAATAGTATCTCATTTTGACAAGAATTTTGGCGATGTGTATATACAGGGTTATTATTTACCATAATAAAATAAGTATTTATTTAGGTATACTGTAACGACTGTTTAATTTAAAAATAGTTGATTTACTGAAAACAGTTTATTTATAATGTATTTATACTATGTACTAATTAATTTATTTACTTTTAAGCACTATTATAATTTTACTTCTAATTCATTTTTACAATAATTTATCTTTACTTGATAACATTTATATTTAAACTTCTATCGACAAAGTCGCGCTATTTATATAAAAATGTAACATCCTCGAAAAAACTATGGGTAGAAGAATCTCGATGCGTTCGTGAAGTGCTTTCTCTACGCGTCGGCTGCGTGCAAGAAACATTCTAGTTACTTTCCAGGTGTACGGGCAGCGATGGCCAACGCCAGACTCTACGGCGCGGTAAAAGTAAATGCAGGCGACCGCACCACAATATTTTATTACTATTTATATCCGTCGAACAAGTAAACTATTGACTTATTCGAATTAATTTATGGGGTTAAATGACTCGTTATCACGTGACATAAGTTTGTCGAGAATTTTGGATTCAAAAAAAGGAGGTGGCACAGGTACTTGAGTTCTATTAATCAATGAGATTCGAGGGCACAATTCTTATCTCGTTATCAAATCGCGACATTTCTCGCTAATTATGGCCGCGGAAGTGTTTGTTTTAACCACTTTTCCACAGGTGCCGTATTTCGTTATCAGATAACGGTCGAAATTTGCAGTGGGCTCTCCTACTATAAATAGTTTTTACCTCATTTATAATAATTATTCAAAAACGAATAAAGGTTATCTATAATATTGTATTCTTATTTTTGTTCTTAACCTCTATACTTACATCTTCAAGATCTGAACATATCTATATAATGCAGCATGAAAATAAAGCGAATTGTAAATATATGTTTAAAATAGATGTTAAAAATATAATTATTAATATTTTTATGACATTTTGCGATAATTTTCAGTTAAACAATATAAAAATTGATTAGATGAATGAGTAACTCCAAAACTAAGAAAACTCTGTAATAATAATTCCGAACTCACGTTTTACCATGGAAAAGATTTTCCTGTGAAAATTAAAATGGAATTATTAGCAGTTCTAAAATGAAAGTTACAGTTGAATCTTTTCCCGTGCATCATCAATCTAAGATATTACAAAAAATACATACTACATAATTTTTATGTTTCATTGTCTACTAACTGTATAATACAGGACAGGGAAATTTTGATAAAATAAAAGAAATAAGAAATAGGTAGATACTAGATACAAAACCGAAAAAAAAAAAGTTTTGGTAAATATTTTCAGATAGATTATATGCCTGGAAATACCCTTAAGACACACATCTGAGCATAATGCATAAAACAACACTTATTTGGTCATTGATTTTTATCCGAAATAAATATTGAAACCTTAGGTAATCATTACCTTCGGCAATAGTACCGATTCTGAAGATTATAAGTTAGGATTTGTTATATTTAAATGTAGATGGTTAACAAAAACATGGAGCCATTTATCTCACAAAGAACATTAAAATTATTTGAAGGGAACATGGGTTAAAACCAGAGATAACAAGAGATGTAACTACAAACAAACATCCTGCTGTCATGAATAAGACATATTCTAAGGGCCACAGGAGGGTGTAATTAATATCCGCTGTTGTCATGCATATTTCACTATTCTCGATTTGTTTACACGAAATTCTATATTCTCTTTAATTTTTATATTTTTTTTATATAAGCTGATTTTTTTAATTATACCATTTTTTAAAAAACTGGATTTTAAACAAAATAGATACTGAAATTACCTTAACTATTTTTTATATTCCAAATTTTTACTCTTTTTCTAAGACTGACGATTTTCTCATGAACCCAATTATTAGATGTTGACCAAATTTATGTGGGACCACCCCTAAAGTACCCCCTTTCTATCAAAAAAGAATCATTAAAATCGGACACCGTGTTAAAGAATAATTGCTGAACATACATAAAAAAAAAATATTACGACGAATTGAGAACCTCCTCCTTTTTTAAAGTCGGTTAATTAGTTTTCACTAAAATAAATGCCAAACTAGCAGTGTGCTTTTTATTTTTTTATACTTAATTATAATAAAAAATAAAAAATTATTAAAGGGTTTTTATAAATACCCAGGTATTTATGACTTTTGGATATTTACCCGGATATTTATCCAACTTTTTAAATACCCGGGTATATAACATCACTACTTGCCCATGCCTTACGCCTCTGACACAGTTTATTTAATTGATCTTTTAACAACAAAAATGTGTGCGCTGTATAATATTACAAAAAATAAAAAATTAAAAAATAAATTAAAATGATAAATATCCATTATCTTGAAAGTTAATATCAAAGAAGGGCAGGCTGACTTATACAAATAGAATTTGGTTAAACTTACAACTTAGTAATAATGTTGTTTTAGTCCTAATTTTCCATTCTAAATCAGCACAAAATAATTAAAACACAATACACGACGAAATAACCCACTTTCTTGAAAAGTAAATACTTAACTTTAACAAGCAATATAAAAACACACTATAAGTCGTTGAAAATAAATTAATATGATTTTCTATTAAATTCTACCAAATTATGCATATGTAACAAACAATACAAGAAAGTGATATTGGTTGCGTATATATCAGTAGTTTTGCTCGTCCCGCAAATGTTTACCTGTCACATAAAATAAGGCATTTCGTAACTGATTGCATAAATAGCTATTTTGTGACATTAATCCCTGTAATTTTCATTTGTTTATTTTTATCGATTGAGAATTTCCTTGTTTAAAAATGTATAAAAAAACTAATCTAATTGAGAATATATTGCGGAGCTCGGAGTAGTAGCCACGTCCTCTTTAATCTCAAAACTCAACACAGATTTTGATCAGCCATTCTCGATTTATTTATTTGGTTTTTTTATTGGTGACCCATGGGAAAAGACAGACTGGCCTCATTAACTGTTCTTTTACTCAAAGTTATAATAAGTAAAGGTTTTATATTATTATAAATATAAACAAATATTTATTTATTAAGTGGTATATAAATTTCAGTAGACAGTTTTAATTCTTGTAAATGACAATTAATAAATGATAGTGCATATAAGTTCAGTAAACAATAAACAAAAATGCTAAACATATTTTGCATACTTACATTTTTAGTCACGCCATTCATGGAGTAACCGCAAGGGTCAAATAAGAAATCATCAATGATCATATTTGGGATTATTTTATCAATACCAGCTTTCTGAAAAAAAAAAATATATATATAAAAAATAAAATAATATGAATAAAAAATTACTATCATATTTAAGTAAATATTTTTATACAGGTACATAATATTCCAAAAAATAACAAATTTATTTTATTTTATTTACTTTGAGTTTTTGAAATAAGTTCGAAAATCCAAAGTTCGATGAAAAATTTTTTTGGAAAGTACATAAGTCGAATAAGTCGAAACTACAAACGTTCGAAAGTGAGAAATAATCGAAATGATATAAGATTAAAAGCATTATATTATGAATTTAGTAAATTAATTGTATTTTTTTTATTTGGGTATTTTACCGTCTAGTTCATGGAACGGATATTATTGCTATGCGTTTTCAAACTCAAACTTGATAGCTTAAAAATAAGGATCTTATCAATAAAAAAAATGGAACAGACATGAACTGAGATGGTAAAGTACCTGATAGTATTATCACAGTGGGTGTGCACATCTAATCCCACACATAAATTCAGATATTTGAACTTAAATGTTAAAAAATATATTAAAGAAAATAGAAATATTTTTCTAGTAGGCTAATTAAAAAAAAAACTAATCTACCTAATCTGTGCGGGCTGGAGCCATCGCGGGTTGCTTCGTAGAAAAATTATACATAAAATGAGAAAAATAAAAAAACTAAACCAAAATATCTAATTTGTGCGGGAGCGGGAGCCATCGCGGACTGTTTAAATTTCAAGCTATTTTTAGTTTCGAACTTTTCTTATTCGGACTTATATATTTCACCAACTCTTGGACATTCTATGATTATCATCAAAGTATGCTTTTGCGCTTTTGAAAAATTATTTTACGTTATTAAGACAAAATAAATAATTTTAAAATAATTTGAGACGTTCACTAATTTATAAAATAAAATAAACATTAAAAAAAAAATTTAATTTTAATTAGTCCCCAGCCCAGGGTTAAATTCGGGCCTCTCGCATGGAAGCTAAACGCGTTTTAATACTCAATTAAATTAGTATCGCGCAAAAGCCTACCCTGTGCTTTGTTTACTCCTTTTCCGCGATATGAAGTTTGGTAATATAGAGACAAACGCACCGCTTCTCAAAACATCCGGAATGATCGCGGCGCGGCGTATGAGTCATAGAGAGGCAGTTCTCAATCGTTGTGGAAAGTCTAGAGTGTTCTGGTGCAGGGCTGGCTTTATATAGATGGCGCGAGTTATCGACGGAAAAAAGATTGAATTTAAGTGTTGGACAGAAAAGATAAATAGTAATAAATAAATTAGAATTGTGAGTTATATTAGTGCCTAAGCATTATATAAGTTAATTAGTACGTTTCAAGCTATTTTTAGTTTCAAACTTTTCTTATTTGGACTTATTTCACCAACTCTTCAGATAGTTCGATTAAAATTTTTGATTTATTTGTAAATGAGGACGAAATAAAAATGCTATTATTTATCGATTCTACGCAAGAATAACTTATTTTTACATATATTGTAGCTTTGTTCCAACACACACATAAAACCGTAATATTACGGTCATCGTCATGCGCAGTAAATAAAAACCTATCAATAAAGCCCAAAGTCGAACGGTTTCTATCTACTGCGCATGACGACGACCATAATATTACGGTTTTGTGAGATGTTGGAACAAAGCTTTAATCTCTACTAAAAAATATACTGACAATTAGTTTGGCAGAATTGTCGCTTATAAAAAAATTCAAAAATAATAGTGAGCAAAATATGAACTATTGGTGGATTTCATTTTTTTGCAAAGTTTTTACTAGGTAGAATGGATATGAAATATATTCGTTCAGTTTAACGCAATGGCATACTTTTTCGTTTTGTAGTCTGTGTGCATAGATAAGTTAATATCACAGAAATTAGGAAAATGGATTTGAGTCAATTCTTGCTCGAAATTTACGTTCCGTTAAGGAGATTCAAAATTGAGGTTTGAGTTTGCGCAGTGAGTATCTATCAGACATGTCAATTGTCATTCGTGAAAGTGATTTGAAAATAAATGTTAATTTTATTCATTTAAAAACAATTTTTGGGACGATTAACCGCGTATTGTACAACTCGCCGTTAATTTTTTTCTGAAAACATTGTTGTAGGAACGTTTTTGTAAACTGCCAAATCCATTCTCCTAATTTTAGTTCTGTGGTTAATATCCATGTGAGTGTAGAAAAAAAATTAAAAACGGACGCTCAATTTTAGCTATATTATCAAGGGTAAAATACCACAAGAACAGGGACGGCTGGTGACCAAAATTTTGGGGGTTCACAGTAGCAGAATATAGATCTCTGTACATATGTAGGTAAAAAACTGTCAGTGTTTTAGAAAGGTATATTATAAACTTTCTAAAAAGTTCTAAAAAGTTTTTTTTTCATACATCTGTACTGATATCTATATTATGTCACTGTGAACCCCCAAAATTTTGGTGACAAGCCACCCCTGCACAAGATGTAAGAATTATTTGAGAACATTTTATTATTCTCTACTCCACTCTACGTCATTTGCTCCCCTCCGTTACGTCTCCACTCCATTCTCCACTTCGCTCTCCGCCCCACTTTGTATATTTTAAACAAAAAAATCGTAAATAAACTCAAGGTCAATGTTCTTTAAATTTCGTTACACGTTGCCATGGTGACATGCGTTACACCTTATATGTCCTTGAAATTTCAATCTCCATTCTCGTCAAATATCGGACCGCTGCCTACTCGTCAAATATCGGACCGCTGCCTACTCGTCAAATATCGAACCGCGACCTAAAAACTTTTACTTCAAAAATTCTCATCTCACGTGGTGTTTGGAAAAGTATTACGCCTTTATCATGGGTAAAAGCCATAGCTCTCTGAAACCCTAGATACAGCATCGAAAACAAATGTTGACCCCCTTCATGCTGGGCGCCATATTAAGTAAGTTTTAAGTTGGCACTACTGACAAGACAGGATCGGCACAGGGTTACGGTAGAAATTATAAGGAGGGAGTAACTTTTCACAAATATTTTTCTTGAAATAAATAAATTTTTTTATGGTTTATTGTATTGTCTCCGTGCGTGACAGCAGCGCCAATTCATTTTAGGTACTAATGGACTATTTCTGTGTATACTGACAAATACAATTTTTAATAGAATTCGTAATTAGAAAGTATTTATGTTAGTTTTAATAAAAGTATATGGATTTGTAAAACAAGTACCTAAAACATTAATTTATTATTATATATTTTTATCGCTTAAATTAAAAAATAATAAGTATAATCAATAAAAATCGATCAAATATAGACAGGCAACAGTATTTACGGGAAAATGTATAAGAAGTTGCCTAAATCTAAATGTAATGAGTAGTCTTTGAAGGATTAACCTATTCTGTCAAAATAAAAAAATACCATTATAGCGTGAAGTTAAAGTATAAACAGAAGGATTGTTATTTATATTTTCATTTTTGTTTAAAAGAAAACATAGAATGAATAATTAAAACTGGTTTTCTATTAGTAAATCACAAAATTGCATTCCAGCCACACACAATAATCAGAGGTAGAAATCTTGAATTCTAGTCCTTGCTGAATGAACATATTTAAGAATAAAGGGATGTTGAAGAACATCGTAAAATGATAATTTATTGTTTATTTAAAACCTTTCAAGTTTCTGATGTCTACTATTTCCAGAATTACTGTTATTACTACAAAAATAAAGGTAATTTTTCTTCTTATTATACACCTATCCATTAATTTATTTGATTCAATTGCCACTTTGCTACTGAAATTTTTTATAATTTACACTGTTTTTTGGTAGTATTTTTACAATTTTCAACACAGCAACTCCGGTTGCTTATGGTATAGTTTTTACCTTCTTTTTTGGAAAAAAAGTAAAATGTATACGTGTATTTGATATGCCAAAATTACAAAATATCGCCCTAAAATGCATAAATTATCCGCAGCTAGCGCTGGTATCGTTTTGGCTTCCCCTACCATGACTTCGCACAAAGCGAATACCGTACCAAAACATTTTCGGAATTAATGGTTGATAGCTATAGAGACATTGATAATTGTTTGAAATTTCGCCTCATATGTTACGCTTCGCACATTCAATGGTAGACCGAGAAAAACTGCTTTGGTCGAGTCGACCAGGAAAATTGCAAAAATATTGGTCCTTTCCTTTGGGGCATTCTAAAATTAATCTGTCTTGATAATATTGAAATTTAGTTTATAAAATAACATTCACACACAAATTTCATCAGGAAAATAATAATCGTCTGATGAAATAAATCGACTTTAAAGTGATGCCATGCAGTCATGGCTTGCTTTGTTATATATTTTGAAATAAAATTTAAACTTGTATAAAATTTTTAATTAGGATTTATATGGTAACAGTTTTGTTCGTTTAAAGAAATAATTTTGAAACGTTGTGTGTGAAGAATCTTCCCATACATTTTAACATCTTAAAGCTTCTAAATGCGCTTATTCGTAAATATAGTCTTCCCGCACTTGGTTCGTAAATAACTATTGTGAGGAAGAAATACTGTTTCAATATTTTTCCATCCATCCAACCAACCAAATATACATGTTTCCCCAAGAAGATTTTCAGAATTAAATAATAATATACAGTGTGTGTCCCATTAAGAATGGGATATAGAGCAATTGAAGATTCTCTGATTAAAAATAAGACGATTAAACGAAACATGCTTAGGTAAAATGTTACTCGATTTCGACTTACTGGGCATTATAGTTGAAAATTCAAAAATTAATATAGGTATAATTTTTTTATTATATAATTTTACTAAATTTAGCTAACATTTTTGGTGTCATAAGATACATCTGTCAGCAAATCAATTAAATAAAATTTGACAGTGGCGTGCGGCATGGATAAGTAACACCTTCATATCTTCTAAAACTTATTTGCCCTACATTTTTTGATGTTTTTTTAAATAAAGCATGTACTCTTGTTGTGAGCTCATAAAGTGATTGGGTTTCGAATGTTTGCACTCAAAGGTTAATAATCTTTATTTAAATTTATTTTGAAATTTTG